CAGCAATGACTCATGCAGTTTTCAGGCTGGATTCAGTTTTGTAGCCGGTGACAAAGAATTAATCATTCTTTACGGTCTTTATGAATCTGAATTCACACTGGTGGCTAAATCTTTTTGTGATCATGTTAACTCTTACAAGGGAGTTTATTGATTTATTTAAAATCCCTGCAGCCTGATCCTGCGCTACTTGTACAAACAAATCTGGTAAAATACAGGAAGCCAGTTGCTTAATTCAGTGACTATGTGAGTACAAGCATCAGGGTGAGGTTCTTATTCTGCCCATTTTAATTTTCTTAGTATGCTTTGAATTTTTGGTATTTTCTTATGAGCTTAGCAGGAAAGTGTCAAAGATCGTAAGTTTGGTATTTGAACTAACTTTGACTGGTCAATATTTTTTGCATGGGAAAGTAATAAAATTTTATTAGACTGACTGTGGTGTCTTACCCCACTTTTTGACCAATGCTCTTTTTTTTAAATCATATGAGTGATGACCTATAGCCTGGGAAAGTAGCAGAAAACTACTTTTTGTAAAATTCCACATGATGGATCAAAACCCAAAGTTCCTTCATCAAAAAATGTCATTTCAAACAAGCAAAAATTGCTCATTATCTAACACACTGATACACATTTTGACACATAAGTTTATTCTGAGACAAAGGCTCTTATGTTCTCCTGTTTAGCACGAGATATCCACCACTGTTTGGACAATGGGTTTGCAATTCCAAATATGTAAAGCTTGCTCTTAATGCCATGTGATGATTCCTAGTTATGAATTATAAAGAAAAGAAAGGTAAAAGCACAAATATATACATATGTATACGTAAAAAGATGTAAATATATATTTTAACCTTATATCTTTGTATATATGCATGTTTGTACATATACACGTTCCTAGCTTTTTCATAGCCCTTGTTTCCAATAATGATTTTAGTCAGAGTTCCAAAATACGGGTTTTGTTTAGGATTAATGAAACAATTACTAAGGCAATAACAATTCACTGTTATAAATGTATAACAAATATGTGCCTTTTACAATAAACTTAACGTTTTTAATTAGCAAATGGAATCCAACATTTTCTAGTTGTCTCATTAAAATGAAATTAGACGCAGGGTTGGGAATTTTAATTCAAAACATTCACCTTTATTGTTGGAACATGCTCCTGGGTGAGTTCTTAGGTTATTTTAGTAAATGTCTATGCTAATGTACTAGTAAAACATGGGTGTAGTCTTGTTAACATTCCCTTCCAGAATTAGGACATAGGAAGAATTTCAGTTCAAAAGGAAAGAGGGGATTGTATAAAATGCCTTCAGTCAATCAAAGATCTTTTCCATGTGTAACAGCGTAACTTAATTTACATTCCTGCAACTCAAAATAATTGATGCAGTATTTTTAGTAATTACTGAATACTTACTTGCTACACGCAAGATCCCTCCATTGAGGTAACTGCACTGCAAGCAGCAGTGGAATGAAATTTTACATTTGTGGTAATGCGGAGTTTTCACATCACCTACTTCAAGGTGTGTAACCCAGGGGCCTTTCTCATGACAGAGTTACCTCCCCTCCAGCAACTGTGTAAGTAACACAAGATTACTTACCTTCCTCTGAATCATGTATTTCTACAGTGTTTACTGTGAAACACTATGTCCTTAGAGGAAGAAATTATATAATGCATAAGAAAAAAAAGTCTGGAATACCTCAGTGCTTTCTATACTGAAAATTGATGTTTCTAAGCCAACTTAAAAAAAAAAAAAAAAAAAAGAAAATGTTTGAGAAATAAGCATTTTAAGTGGCAATGGCAGGGAAGAATTTCAAACAAATTTGCACCTAAGTGAGGCTTATGCCTAATTGCTGTCCAAGGCTTGCTCAAGACCACTTTTGCTCTAGGTCTGTGAAGCTTGAAGGAAAAGACAATTTTTAAAGAGGTTCAAGGGAGACATTTCTCTGTGTGGATACCCAGACTAAGCCAACAAACTGCACAGCTACAAGTGAGCATTCGAATGTGAAGTGTCTGTAGACACTAGCCACCTGCTGTGCATACTTACTAACTGCACTGTCGCAAATAGCCCAGAGCAGGTGTGACTTTTTCCGGGCATGTTAGGACACTTTTGACTCTTAATTCAACTTGGGATAAGCAGTGGAGCACAGTCAACTCACTACTAAGCTCTGGAGTCAGGTCCATTTTGGAGCTCCCACCCTACACAGGATTCCTATGGGTTCGAGGGGGAAGAACGGATCAGGGACAGGCAACAGGCAGCAGCACAGTGGATCAGCCCCTTCCCTCCAAAATCACCCTCACTGCTCCCCCTCTAGCCTTCCTAGTCCCTCAGCCCCACAGAGGAGAGCGCAGAGGCAGAGGTGCTAGTAGACAGAGTATGCAGGGAGAGAAGGAGGAGAAGGTGGAGGGAGTCAGCCCTGGCAAGAGAAAGTTGCTAAGCACTGCATTTAGATGGTCAGACTTTATTTCACAGATCTGCTCCCTTGCCTGTTGTCCCTTATCTTATACTGGGACAGTTAATTACTCCCATGCATCTGTGTGGCTTTCAACCTTGTCCTGTTAAAGATCATCCTTGTATTTTTCCCAGTCTAATTTTCCAGAATCACTTGAATTCTAATCCCACCATCCTGAGTGACTGAGCCTTTTCATCTTACATGGGTTGCTTAGTTTGCATGCTTTGTTTTATAATGGCAAACGTGATTTCCATAGACACAAATCTAATTTATGTCTTCCCTAGAAAAATAATCCCTTTTTGTTTCTCTAAATTGCACTGAAATAGAAGTTAATACAAAAACACAAGTAGATAATGAAGTATGTTTCTGCTAAGCTCTGCAGTGCCTCATTTGTGCCTCATGCAGAGTGCTGAACTAAGTAAAAACTTGATCTGCATCAAATGAAGTGAACTTAACTGACTTCCTTGAAGATTCATAAATGAGAAGGCCAGAGAGCAAGGCTGCAAGGCTGTTTGGCTGCACGTGTAATGAGAAGAAATTCACCCAGCCATTCTGGCACCATGCTCAGAAGACGCAGCTGATCAATAAACTCAAGTGAACTCTCCAAATCGCTTGCTTCAATTTTCCTTGGAAAAATTATTAGTCAGAGTCTGGTATACAAATAAACAATTGCCATGGAGAGGCAAACTCCATATATAAGAGAAAACATAGGAGTTAAAGATTTGCACATATCTTGTGCAGCATTTTCCAAGAAAGCCCCTAGAAGTAGCCTTGTTTTGAAGGAATTTACAAAGGAAAAGAAAAAAAAAAAAAAAAGCAATGTAAAGGTCCTTCTTTTCATCTTATACAAAATACCATGTTTTTGCCTGCTTCATTAATGCTACCTGGTTTGCCACCTAGAAAATGCACACTGAGTTCAACCTTCAGGGGTCAGCAGTGCTCAGCGTATCTATGAACTGAACTCTAAGTGGCTGTGGGGACTATCAAATAAGGGCTGACTCTGATGAATATTAATCCTGCAGTTTTAAGTAGAACGGTTTGGAATCTGAAGACTAGCTAAGTACATATCATCTCCCATCTTGCAAATGCCACTACAGCTCTTTTCTCAGAAATAAAATAGTATTTCATTCAAAGAGTGCACTTGGAGATTATTCTTCTGAATAGATTTGCTAGACTGTAAAATTCTCTGTTTACTCATAGTTTTGAAATTAGATAAATACAGTAGCCTTTTCTGAGCTTTCTAGTGCAGAAAGTCCTGTGTCTTATGAGTGACAAAATTAATTTTTGGAAAGCTTAATACTACCAGACTAGCTGTACATGGTCTGGAATAAAGCTTGCTAAATGCAGTCGAGTTTATGTGGCTGCACTGAAATATGAGCAGTGTAAAAAGACGCTGCTTCACTGTCTCATTTTTCTGCCCAGTGGTCTTCCACAGACGGTTCAGCCTGAATTTTAGTTTTAGTAGATTACCTTCAGATCAGTGTAAATTAGAGCTCAAGATTTACTCACAGTGCAATGCCTTACTCTGCTAGAAGCCTAACAATTTAAATGCAAGGGAGCACAACCTTTATAGCTTTAGAGTTGTCTTGACAATGTGCTGTTTATGGAGTCTTTTTAGCATACATAGGCACGCATGCATGCAAAGCCGAGAGGCTGAAATGAAATGACTCAAACAGTGAATCTCTCCTGTTACAGCACTAACATTATTGCTATTCCAGGCTTTCTTAGTCTTGTTAAATAACAGTGGATTGAATAAAAAGGGAATAAGAAGTGTGATGGATATGAAAATATAAGGATGACAGTACAATAAATTAATGCTTACCATTTCCTGAGTGTTTGCAAAATCTGCCTCTTTCGAGCTACACTGCACCAAAAGCATTATAATATCAATCAGGACAATACAAAGGAATACGTATTTTTATCAAAACCTACTTAAAGCAA